TATATGTGTGTGTGTGCGGGTATATATATATATATATATACATATATATATGTGTGTGTGTGTGCGGGTGTGTGTGTGTGTGTACAGATACTGCNCTTTTTGTCGAGTAGATAGGCGTATGCGGTCGAACACCATATTGCCTATTCGATCAGATTGTGGACCACATTTCATACGGACGACTTTTGGCTTTATTTTCCAACAGTGCTTTTCTTAAATGCGCACCAACACATGACAAAAACGTTTGTTTTCGCAAACGCACATAGTATTCGTTGTAATAGATTCTATACCAGACGAGTGTGCAATCCTTTGCATTCAGCCCTGGACACATAAGTGCTACCGACAGAGTTCAAATATACTATCTTGTTACGCACGCATTCCATGGTGAACAGGTGGGCATAGGGAGAGACCATACCCTCTTCGCTCTGGCAGACGGGCAGGTCCGATTTGTCCGTCAGCCGATGTACTTGTCGCACAAAGGCGACTTTGACCGACTATTCGTGGAAGTACGTCGTAAGCCCACACCACCACCGACTTTCCGATTGATAACCCCGCCCCCGCCTACTACACAATAAACATAGTTAAATCCAATCATATGACAACATTTATATCTTGCGGTTTATTGTCGTTGGGTTTGTACCTCGACGCTATGTATACTCATATATGCAAGTATGGCGCAAATGTGCATTTAAAACATTTGCCGAACGTTTGTAATTCCAACTTGTGTGATGATGCTCCGTTTCATTGAGGTTTGTGTCCTCGGGACTACACTTTACTTCGTCACAGTATAGCGGCTTTGAGTCTATATACCTGGTACAGTTTTACTGCATTTTCCCGACTGCATCTATTCGGGGATGTGAGGAACAACGTTTTGGGAACGTTATAAAAATCATGTCTGAATGTGAAGACTTAGATACTTTGAAACCTCTGCAAGCGAAATCAGGATCGACTGGATATGTGTGCTTTCAGCGCTACATTCTTCTAGTTAGTACCGTTGAGTTTCCACTCACATAACGAAACAAGTCGCTCTGCAAATAGATTAGAACGTCCATAAAGTGTATACGACTCTCAGCCCAGCCTTGGTTGTTCTCTAGGGGTTACAGCAGCTAGACGAGTTGCATTTAATCTCTGCCCATGGAGGACTGCTGCACTTCCCAGGTCTTTTGCAACATTTTGTGTCTTCCTTGTATCCATTGGGACAATCTGCGTCGATCTCACCGCAATACCGGTAATGTCGCCCGATAGGCCCAGAACAACAGAAACTGCTTACGCACTTGACTTTAGGGTTTACCCACCCACATTTATCAGAATCTCGACAGCACTTTTTGTTTTGTGTTATACTGACCCCCACAGAGACCAAAAGCGACTTGCCCACATCGCAATCTCTCCGCAGGACCTCGCGACGAAGTCGGCACAGGCGATGGTATAGGGGGTGGTCTAAGGCTGGGAGAAGCACTAGACGAGGCAACTGGTGCGGTACTCGCTGCCGACGATGCGACGGGCGACTTTGCAGGGGAGACTACAGGAGAAATTGCAGGAGAAATAGATGGGAAGACCACAGGATAAACAACAGGTGAAGCACTAGAGGAAACGATGGGCGAAGTGACGGGCGTGTAATTGGGCCAGTACACAGGACATTCCGCAGGGTATGAACTGGGCGAGGCTGATGGTGGCACAGCAGGAGTGCTAGATGATGAGGCGATGGGTGTAGCAATGGGTGAAGGTAGGGGTGAAGTTACCGGACTGTAATTCGGCCAATACGCCGGACAGTCAGCAGGTTGTGCGGACGGCGAGACAACTATAATGGTGCCAGTGGCAGTGGGTGAGGCGGCAGGAGTGGCTACGGGTGTAAAATTAGGCCAATAAACTGGACATGTGATGGTGTCAGATGTAGTTGCCGCCGACGCCCAACTTAATAGGGGAGATAAAGTAATAAACAATGTGAGGTGTATTAAACAATGTGAGGTGTATACCTCTCAAGTAGGAACTAGACATAGTATCCCGCAGTGGCTGGTTTAGATGGATGTCCCAAAGGAAAGTGCAAGTTTAACACTGCGAGACGAGCTTTTGTAGTCGCTCTGCAACAACAACATGAAAGAGTGAATGTCAGCTTTAAAACACCGAGAATAGAGATCAACAGTAAATAAAAATTCAGATTGATTGTGAAGTCTGATATTATAACATCTCAGGAGTGATTTGCATATTTGTGTAAATATGCATTTTGTGTCGATCTTTTTAGGCGCTTTTGCTAGCATGGTTTTATTGCCGAAACACGCGGTGTTGTAACACCCTGATTTTACGATGTGGTAATTCACTATATGATCGTACACTTGCAAAAATTAAGCAATCAAAAGCGGTTAGAGAGGGGCCTTGTAGTTTGTGCTTGGTTTATACGGTATAATATATATATATATAATATACTTTGTGCATGTTCCGTCCAAATGTCTAAACCATCGCACTTGTCTAGGGGTTTGCTGTTCATGCGAGCTCTACACTGGCCAGTTGCACGCTGAAATCTAAAGTCACCAGCCCCCACTGTGGTGCGTTTGCGGAGCCAAACGCCTATTGTATAAGCGATAAGGTATAACCGGTTGTTTATGGGACCAATGATATATCGAATGTTGTAGAGAGTCAACTACAGAGAAATCCACATTTGAGACAGGAGGGGAAGCCAAAGCAGACACTGTGCAAGTGCCGGAGCAACT